ATGGGGCTCGATCCCAGGACCCTGAGATCATGACCTGAGCCAAAGGCAGAGGCTTAACCCACTGAGCCACCCAGGCACCCCAAAAATACACTATAGCTTTAACTCAAGAGTTAGTATGGACTCGAGGCTCACACCATGAGAGGCTTGGGAGAGAATATTTGTGCCTTGGAAAGCTAGGAAATCTAGTCCTCATTGATTGTACACGTGCTCTCCATTGCCCCCCTACATACACACACACCCCAACAGGAGTATAGAGAAAGCTGAATGTCAGTTTGGCTCTAATATATAAGAAAAACATAACTATCTTTGATTCAGTTACACAAGTTACATGCCGAGATGATATTTGTTTCCCTGTGGTGAAGTACCACAGTCGAGTTTAACAATTTTTTAAATTACCATAGCTTTCCAGTTCCTAACAATGAGGAACTGTACCAAGTCAGCCAGCTGACTTGTTGCATTCCGGGAATTCACAAAAAAGTTGAGAGAGAAATAGTTTTATCCCAGGCATTTTAAGATCGAATCTTATAGATAACATGAGCCAACTCTTCAAAATCTGAAGAGGATGGGGAAAATCTGTATTTTTATTTTTTTACTGTATTTGCTGTGATAAAATATATGTAACAAAGTTTGCCATTTTAGCCATTTTTTATACATTTTTTAAATTTAATTTTATTTTTTCAGTGATCCAAGATTCATTGTTTATGCACCACACCCAGTGCTCCATGCAATATGTGCCTTCCTTAATACCCACCACCAGATTCACCTATCCTCCCACCTCCCCTCCCCTCTAAAACCCTCAGTTTGTTTCATCAGAGTCCACAGTCTCTCATGATTCGTCTCCCTCTCCAATTGCCCCCAACTCACTTCTCTCCTTCTCCCAGTGTCCTCCATGTTATTCCTTATGCCCCACAAGTAAGTGAAACCATATGATAATTGACTCTCGCTGCTTGACTTATTTCACTCAGCATAGTCTCCTCCAGTCCCATCCATGTTGATACAAAAGTTGGGTATTCATCCTTTCTGATGAAGGCATAATATTCCATTGTATATACAGACCACATCTTTATCCATTCGTCTGTTGAAGGACATCTTGGCTCTTTCCACAGTTTGGCAACTTTGGCCATTGCTGCTATGAACATTGGGGTACAGATGGCCCTTCTTTTCACTACTTCTGTATCTTTGGGGTAAATACCCAGTAGTGCAATTGCAGGGTCATTGGGTAGCTCTATTTTTAATTTCTTTTTTTTTAAGATTTTTTATTTATTTATTGCACAGAGAGAGAGAGAGACAGCGAGAGAGGGAAGACGAGAGAGGGAAGACAAGCAGAGACAGTGAGAGAGGGAAGACAAGAGAGGGAAGACAAGCAGGAAGACAAGCAGGGAAGACAAGACAAGACAGGGAGAGGGAGAAGCAGGCCAAGCAGAGAACCTGATGTAGGGCTCGTACCCAGGACCCTGGGATCATGACCCGAGCTGAAGACAGACGCTTAACAGCTGAGCCATCCAGGCGCCTCTCTATTTTTAATTTCTTGAGGAATCTCCACACTGTTTTCCAAAGTGGCTGCACCAACTTGCTTCCCACCAACAGTGTAAGAGGGTCCCCTTTCTCCACATCCTCTCCAACACATGTTATTTACTGTCTTGTTAAATTTGGCCATTCTAACTCTGTGAGGGGGTATCTCTATGTGGTTTTGATTTGAATCTCTCTGATGGCTAATGATGATGAGCATTTTTTCATGTGTCTGTTAGCCATTTTTGAGTGTACAATTCAGTGGCATTAATTATATTCACAACATTGTGGGGATCATTACCACTGTATTTCCAAAAATTTTCATCACCCCCAACAGAAACTCAAACCCATTGAGCAATAACACCCCTCCCTCCAACTTCTGGTAATCTCTAACCTACTTTCTGTGAATTTACCTGTTCTAGGTATTTCATGAGTGGAGTCATTAAATATTTGTCATTTTGTGTCTGGCTTACTTCACTTAGTGTGTTCTCCATGTCGTAGTTTCAAGCTGCAGTATGTGTTAGAGCTTCATTCCTTTTTATGATGGAATAATATTTCATTGTATGTATAAGCCTCATTTTGTTTATCCATTCATCTGTTGAATGAACACTTGAGCTGCTTCCATCTTTTAGCTATTGTGAATAATTGTGAATAATGCTGCTATGAGCATTGGTGTCTGAGTTTGAGTCCCTGTTTTCAAATCTTTTGGGTACATACCTTGGAGTGGAATTGCTAGGAAATCTGAATTATTTAACTACTATATTTGTCCATTTTTCCATCTTTTGCTATCAGTGAGAAAGACGAATGAAAATAGAGCAGTGTTTGGTTTTACAAGAAAAGGCGTTTTTTCACAACTCACTTTTGGATTTTCTTAACTATTTAATAAATAGAACCATGAAGCTTTTTTTTTTTTGGCCTATGTACACTGCAGAAAATTTACTAAGACATTAAAGGATGAACCAAGAAAGTCTGGGAACCCCTGGTTTATATCTAGTGCTCTCTAACTAGTTTTATAACTTTAATACTATATTTTGGACAACTTACATTAAATAATATGCCATTGTATAAATGCACCAGTTATAACTGTTCCCTTATGGATAGACTTCCAGCTTCTTACCATTTTTCAGTACTACAAAGAATGCTGCCCATGAATATATTTATACATTTGTATGCATTCATGCTAATACTCCTGTAGGAAGATAGATTCCTAAAAGTAAAATTGTGAAGTAAAAAATATATACATAAAGTGTTATTCCTGCTAAATTTTCCTTTCAAAAGGTTTTGATATTACACACTCCCAACATTGTAAAAGAGTACCCATTTCTTCATACCTTTACCAATATTTGATGTTATCAATCCCTTTTAATTTTTACAAATCTGGCAAAATTTGAAAAATTTTGTTTGTATCTTGCATTTCCTTAATAAGTAGTGAGATAAGGGATCTTTTTACATTTTATTGATCATTGGTATCATTCAGGCCAATTCCCTGTTCCTGTTTTGGCCATTTTTCTATTGGGAATTTTGTCCTTTTCCTATTTGTATAAGCTCTATTAATACTAATGTTTTGTCTTTTCTGTGTTATGAATATTTTGTTCCTACCTGCCATGTGTCTTCTAGTTATTCATTGTTCTTTTCCCATATATAAATTTAGCATATTTATGAGGTCATATCTTTATGGCTTCTGATCCATGTTTAGAATGGTCTTCTTATCCCAAGGTTTAAATTATCTGCTCATGTTTTCTATTGGTACTTCTAAGATACTAATTTTTAGATTGAAATTTATATTTATTTACATATAAGGAATGAGGCAATAGTGTGCTTAAACTTTCTTCCTATTGGCTGGCTAGTTGCCCTGCATATTTGTTGAACAAAATATCCCCATTATTTTAAAATATAATTGTTACCAAATACTGAATTCTCATAGATGGTATGTTGTTTGTTTGCTTCTCAACTTAGATCTTTAAACCTCTTTCTATGCCAGCTTATACTGTTTATACCAATTTCACTTTATAAGATACTTCATATTTTAAACAACCTTTGAGCATTATTATTTACTTTATAGCAGTCATTTTGTTGTGAAATCGGATTATTAAATTTTTAAAATTTTTATTTTATTTTAAAAATCTTTGGGGTTTTCTTTCATGCTGAAAAAATCAATTTGGATCTATAGGAAAGTTGGAAAAATAAAATGGAGTTCCCTTTATTCTTACCCAACTTCCCTTAACGTAAGCATCTTACATGGTACAGTTACTGAAATCAGGAAAGTAATACTAACATAATATTTTTAACTAATCTGTAGGCCTTATTTGAATTTCACCAGTGTTCCCACTGAGGTCTTTTATAGTCCCAGATCCAATCCAGGATTCTATGTTGTTATTACATTGTCATGGCTCCTTAGTCTGCTTCAATCTGTGATAGTTCCACAGCCTTTGTCTTTCATAACTTTGACACTTTTTAAAGAGTATTGGTTATTTTGTAGGTTGAGTTTGAGATTTTCTTCTGACTTGATTCAGGGTATATATTTTGGCAAAAATACTAAGGAAGTGATGTGCTCTTCTTTGAGCATCCTATCAAAGTATACATGTTGACATTTCTCATTACTAGTGAAGTGATCTTTGAATAATTGGTTAAAGTAGTATCTTTCAGGTGTTTCCTTTTGTTATTAGTAAATATTTCCTGGGGGAGATACTATCCTATTTCTAATCAAAATTTCACCTACTAACTGTTCTGTCAATGGTTCTTGCTGAAATAATTATTACTTAGATCTTAACCTAATGGTGATTTTCTCTTTTCATCATTCATTCTACATTTATCAATTGAAATAATCCCTTCTCCCCATTTATTCAATTATATCCTTATATCAGTGTGGACCCATGGATTTATTTTATAGGTTATTACCCAGTACCATATTATGTTACCAATTATTTACGTTTTTATTTAAGTAATCCCTACACCCAGAATAGGGCTTGAACTCACAACCCTGAGATCAAGAGTCACAGGCTCTTCTGACAGAGCCAGCCAAGGTGCCCCACCAATTATTTAACAGATAGAAACAGCCTTTAAGTACTTACAAGTGTAGTTTCAAATGTAAGGTTCCCATATCTCACGTACGGCTTATTATCTTCATTTGCAAGGGGAAATTAAAATTTTCTTAACATTGTAATTTGGATTATGATTAAACTCACAAGTTATTTGCAGGATTCAGTTACCAAATGCTGAATGTGTATTTACAAGTTCCACCTAATTAAGGGCTTGGAGAGAGTAGAATATGGAGCTGGCACAAGGCCAGCCATTAAGCATGGAAGGCAAGAGGGTAGACATCCTGTGGCTCTGTCAGGCTATGTACAAAATACACAGTGTCAGTCAGTGAAGTCAAAAGATCAACTATAGTTAACTGGCTGGAACCAGGGGGGGAAATTCCTTTGACCTGCCTTCTAGATATTAATAGCAATGTTACTTTGAAGGTACCAAAATTATTTTATTCTTTCCAGGTTTGAAGTCAATAAAGGGAAGCTGCCATAATTTTTGTACAGCTATTTTTAAAGATGTCACTTATAAGGAACTTAAAAACCTCTTGAATTCCAAAAAAATTATGTTAATTGATGTTAGAGAGCCATGGGAAATTGTCGAGTATGGAAAAATTCCTGGGTCTGTCAACATACCACGTAAGTGACCTGTGACTTGAATTAATTACTCACAAAAGTATATATTCAGTAATTTACTGTACCTAAGATTTAATTGAAATTTTTAACATTTTCTTTCAGTGGGTGAGGTAGGTAAAGCTCTACAGATGAACCCAAAAGACTTCAAAGAGAAGTACAATGAAGTAAAACCATCCAAATCAGACAGTCTGGTGTTTTCTTGTTTAGCCGGAGTGAGAAGCAAGAAGGCTTTGGACACGGCAGTATCTCTGGGCTTTAACAGGTGCATAAATGAAGTATAAAATTGTATTCAAGAGTGTGTATAATAGCAATGTTTCATATGTATTATATTTTTACTGGTCGACTGAAAAATGTCTTCTAATACTGTGTTAGTAATAGCAGGATAGAGACTAAGCCTCTATAGTTTCATCCTACTCAAAAGTAACAGTCTTTTACGTAGGTTTAAAGGCTAGAGTAGTCATGGCATCTCTACATCTCTAAAGTTCCTATCAACCTTGTGTTATAAAGCAGGAGGAAATTTTTACAGCACTAACCTTGCTATATGTTTTCAGTGTTCAACACTATGCTGGAGGATGGAAGGAATGGGCAACCTATGAATTTTCAGAGAAGAAACACGGAAATTGATTTCTGGAATACAAGTTGGCTCTTTTCGGGCACCTGGGTGGCTCAATGGGTTAAGCCTCTGCCTTCGGCTCAGGTCATGATCTCAGGGTCCCACATCGGGCTCTCTGCTCCGCGGGGAGCCTGCTTCCTCCTCTCTCTCTCTCTCTGCCTGCCTGTCTGCCTACTTGTGATCTCTCTCTGTCAAATAAATAAATAAATTCTTAAAAAAACAACACCACCAAAAAAAAAAGTTGGCTCTTTCCTTCTGTATATGCGGCTTATTATATTGAAATGTACAAAAAAATAACAATCTAGCCCTGGCATCACTGGAAAGCGTTTTGTGTTTAAGTTGAGAATACTGGGGCACCTGGGTGGCTCAGTGGGTTAAAGCCTCTGCCTTCGGCTCAGGTCATGATCCCAGGGTCCTGGGATCGAGCCCCGCGTCGGGCTTTCTGCTCAGTGGGAAGCCTGCTTCCTCCTCTCTCTCTCTGCCTGCCTCTCTGCCTACTTGTGATCTGTCAAATAAATAAAAATCTTAAAAAATAAATAAATAAATAAGTTGAGAATACTACTTGCCCTTGCCTATTTTCAAAGGCTATTGAGGATTGAAATAATGTATGTGACTTGCCGTGAGAGTATTAAGGGTTAGGATTCTAGAAATGAATTTTTTAAATAGTTTAGTATAGTACAATAGTATTCCCAAGCCCAGGTTACTTACAGTACCTAATCATAATGTATGACCATTTGTGTTAGCATAGCTTCTGTTCAATAAAGAGGCTATGAACGAAACAAGTTATTTTTTTAATAATAAAAATATATTTGTAAATTTTCCCATTTTAGAAAATTCATAAAATTTCTTATAATGATATACAGTACAGATATTTCTGATGGATATATCTTTCATCCATTAATGTATTAAATAAAATAAAAACTAGTAATCATTTCTTGAACACATTTCCTTGGCTTAGATCCTATGTTAAATATTACAAATGCTAAAAAGATAATAAAAAAGATGTTATTCTTCTCTGAAGAGGTTTGATGTCTAGCAAAGGTATATAAAAGTTAGATTTTAAAAAGCAGACTTTGTCTTAAAACACCAAGAATCTGAGATCCAGAAAAATAGGTGAAATACAAACAATGAAAATACATTAACACCATCTAAAAGGCTTATGGTCATGTTGTAACCAGCATGGTAGTGATATGATTTGTAACAAAAAATTAATATGATCTATAAAGATAGAAATAACAGGGATGCCTGGGTGGCTCAGTCAGTTGAACATCTGCCTTCAGCTCAGGTTATGATCCCAGGGTCCTGGGATCAAGCCCCAAGTTTGGGCTCTTTGCTCAGCAGGGAGCCTGCTTCTCCCTCTGCCTCTGCCTCTTCCCCTGCTTGTGCGCTCTGATAAATAAAATCTTTTTTAAAAATTATGAAGAAAAAAGAAATAGCAAAATGATTGCTTCTGTAGAGGGAAGATTAACTGGAAAGAGCAGCAAGGAGGGAAATTTCTAGGGTGATGGAAATGCTTTAGGTCTTGAGTGAGGTGTTGGTACATAGGTAATAATACATGTATCAAAACTCATTTTATTTTATTTTTTTTTTTAAATTTTATTTATTTATTTGACAGAGAGAGATCACAAGTAGACAGAGAGGCAGGCAGAGAGAGAGAGAGGGAAGCAGGCTCCCTGCTGAGCAGAGAGCCCGATGCGGGACTCGATCCCAGGACCCTGAGATCATGACCTGAGCCGAAGGCAGCGGCTTAACCCACTGAGCCACCCAGGCGCCCCTCAAAACTCATTTTAAAAGGCAAAAGATTTATGTGATCTGAAGAGAAACCAGAGTATAAATTCGTTGAACACTTGAAAACATATCTTCTGGGGGCACCTGGGTGGCTCAGTGGGTTGAGCCTCTGCCTTCAGCTCGAGTCATGATCTCAGGGTCCTGGAATGGAGCCCTCATCTGGCTCTCTGCTCAGCAGGGAGCCTGCTTCCCCTCCTCTCTCTCTGCCTGCCTCTCTGCCAACTTGTGATCTCTATCTGTCAAATAAATAAATAAAATCTTTAAAAAAAAAACATATCTTCTGTAATTATATCTCAATTACAAATAAGGAAAATGCGGGGGGAGTTTAAATGTAAAGGACTCTCACTAGGATGAGTATATGCCTTAGAGTACTGACGGTACAACTGTTTCTTTCCTCTGTGCCTCTTCACCCCCAAATGTATTTTGTCTCATTTTGGCAGTCATTCAGACCATATAAGGCCTAAGAAGTAACTATTAGGACTTGGTTTGTCCTAAATGGTATTACAAGGGGAATCTGGAGTAGAAAAGTCATGTGACCACCTTGAACTTCTATTTCTGAGAATGTCAGTCTAGTTTCTAGCAAACTCCCTATAAGAATGAGAGAGGCTGGCAAGTAAACACACACGCACTCATGCACACACGCCCCTCCATGTTGGGTCATCCTCTACAGCTTTCCTGCTCTCGGGAGCATAGGCCTTCAAACCCTTGCTGCTTTAGTAATTCCTTCATGCCTTTAAATTGATCTTATTTATTTATCTATAGAAACAAATGTACTAGGACATATATACTAAGGTGGGATTTGAAGAGCCACTATCTCAGAGAGAAGGGAAGTTGTGGTTGAAGAACTGGGCCCATCGAGGAATGAGAACCTGGGTAGATACACCAGACGTTTAGTTGGAACCCCTGGGAAACGATACCCTCAGAACAAAGGAGAACCAGAGATTGACCAACCTTCATAAAATGTAAGAATGGCTTTGAATCAACTAAATCCCTGACTGAATTAAGGTGATCTTCCTGCTAACCTAAGGGCCTACCAGCAGTAAGTCCTCTCTTAGAGAGAGATGTCATTATCTAGAGCAAGGGGTTGGCAACAATAAATATTTTAGGTTTGTGGGCTATAAGGTCTCTATTGCAACTGTTCAACTCTGCTACTGTAGCACAAAGCAACCACAGACAGTATATACATGAATGAGTGTGGCTGGATACCCACAAAACTACGGCCACTTAGCTTTGAATTTTCTATTTCATGTGTTGCCGCATATTCTTCTTTTAATTATTTTTCAAACATTTAAAAATATGGCAAACCTTAGCTCAAAGTCCGGGCAAAACTAGATGGCAGGGAAGATTAGGCCCATGGGGCACAGTTTATAGACCCCTGAGACAGAGCCACAAACATTCCTTACAGTTTGTCATATTCATTGTTCAGAATTCTATAAAATTTATTAGAAATAGCAGTATGTAAGACCTCATGATTGAAAAAATGTTTTTAAAAGATTTTTTTAAAAAGACACAATAGAAACACATCTACAGATGATCCACATATTGGAATTTTCAGACTTTAAAATAATTGACTTACATATTCAATAACTTAGATGACAAAAATTATTAAAGTAATGAAAACTACAAAAAAAGTATCAAATAGAAATTCTAGAATTTAAGAACACAATAACTGAAATTTAAAAACCCAGTAGACAGTGGGTGGGCTTAACAGACACAGCTGATGAGGATTAATAAAAATGGAAAAACTGAGGTACACATGAACATGACTTGCACAGGGAATGTTTGAGAGAAGTATACTACAGAAATGTGTACAATATAGTTTGAAACCACGCAAAGTACTGCTATCTATACGTATATGGATGTACCTATATAGTGTAAGTATAAATTAGGAGATGAATAAATACCAAATTCAGAATAATTTCCTTTGGGGAGAGAGCACAGAAGACTTTTAATTTAGCATGTTTGTTGGTTAAACACTCTGTTTTACCTTTGTGAGCATGGGATAGGAACTTAATATCTCCAACTTGGAGGAAATTAAACCAGATTTTACAGTTATAATATCCTGGATTCCTGGTACTTAAAAAAAAAAAAAACTTATGATAATATATCCTATTAACACAAACATAAATGCACTTGTATATTTGTGAACAAGCAAAGGGTTCGTATGTTAGAATAATTTATTTTCTGTATTCAAATTTATAAAGACAAGCTTCGTTATTTTGAAATAATTTAACAAATGTATCTGAAGTTGCAGCGACCTTTACACTAGAAGTCTTAAGAGTAAAATCATTACTCAGTGCTATGGTACTGAATGCCTCAAAATATACATAGCAGTGATTTACTACATCATTGAAGAAGTGGCTGTTTTATTTCAGTCATGGGAGAACACCCATCTTACTCTGCTAATGCAAGGGTAGATCAAAAGTTTTAGAAATGCAGAACAGCCAAATTATGTTTTAAAATACTGTATATACTGTTCGTAGTTCTCCTAATGGGATAGAAGGAAGTGGTCCTAGAAAAAGTAGCAAGAGTGGACAGGCTCAGAGTTGAATTAAAGTGTCTCAGGTTTCCTTCATTTACAGTCCCTCTTTCTTACTCGCCTTATGATCCTAGTGAGGCCTCTTGCATTCTGTGATAATGCATCCTTTTGCTCTCTCGTACGTATTTGCCATGGAAATACTGGATAGAGGTAGGTCAATAGCCAACCTGTCCGAAACTGATTATTACTGACGAATGGAAAACTGATGCTTCTCCCACCATTCAGTAAAAGTTACTTTTCAGTGTCTAAAAGGGCAGCGAATTATTAACAGAAAAGTCTAATTTTGTCACCCTTTCAGTGCTACAGGTGTCTCTAGGAGCAAGGATAGGAAGGGAAGAGAGAAACTTAAAAAAAAAAAAAAGATTTTATTTGAGAGGGCAAGCGAGCAAACACATGCAGGGGAAAAGGCAGAGGGAGAGAGAAAGGGAGAAGCAGCAGAGTCTCCACTGATCAGGGAGCCCGATGTGGGGCTCAATCCCAGGACTCTGAGATCCTGACTTGAGCTGAAGGCTGACTTTAACCGACTGAGCCACCAGGCGCCCCCCAAAAAGGAGAGAAATTTAATAAAAAGTATTACAATGGTAGGATCTGGTTAAAGTGTATCCACATGGGGGGCACCTGGGTAGTTCCTGGTTGGCTCAGTGGGTTAAGCCTCTGCCTTTGGCTCAGGTCATGATCCCAGTGTCCTGGCATCAAGCCCCGCATCGGGCTCTCTGCTCAGCAGGGAGCCTGCTTCCCCCCACCCCCGCCTGCCTCTCTGCCTATTTGTGATC